CACGTAAGACATTCACGTATTAAAATAAACATATTAAGTTAAAGAATACTAATTTACTGGCCCTTTTCAATCCACTGCTGGATGAACGCGACGACATGTCGATCGATCATGGGTATTGTTTGACCATACTTCACCACGCTGGTACGTGCGGGTTAATGATGTGGACACGACTACTGGGATCGGTTCAGACGTCTCCCGCCACCGGGTTCCCAGCGCAGTGCGCTAACCGCTGCGCCACCGCTCCCCAAACAACCACAGTCTATCGTCTGGGCCTCATTTGTTGTGAAGTATAGGTTCGAAGCTTACAACTTTCCTTTATTTGTTTTATTACACAAGTACTGTATGTTGTGTTGATATGCATTGTGCTTGTAGAGGAGTAACATTATTTAAGCAGCTTACATTTGCATGGCTGTTGTATGTGTGTGTGCAACTCCTGTGCTTCAACACACCCACACACACTCACACACACCACACACCCACCCACACACCCACACACATTCACGCCCACTCACGCACACCCACACACTCACGCACACTCACATCCCCCACACACACTCACGCACACCCACACACTCACACACGCTCACGCACACACCCACACACTCACGCACACCCACACACTGACGCACCCCCACACACTCACGCACACCCACGCACCGACGCGCGTTATCTGCTGCTGCTGCGTTGGCGGTGGTGCAGACAGCACAAATAACAAGCAACAAAACCCCTCAATACATTCGTCAATAATACTGCCTTAAAAGTATAAATATATATTAAGTGACATTCCGTGCGCTTGTCCTTCTTGATAGCTCGGAGAAGAGCCATTGACCGAAACGTCGCCTCATATATACTTTTCGATTCAAGGCAGTGTTAGTGACTCATGCGTTGCGTTGTGTATTATACACACACAACAGGCCTGTTCCGGGTAATCCGTGACATGTGGTGCACGATGTTTTATTGTTTTTTACTCCGCAATTAAAGGCACAGAATGGTGTTGCCTCGAGTTGTCTCGACGTCTGTGCATGGAGCCTCTGGCAGGCAGCGCGCGAGCGCAGCGCCGGACGGGAGCCAGCGTCCACGGTGGCTGTGGAACACGCCATTCATCGTGACATTGCGTTGACACTTGTGCATGGGCACAGATAACAAAACCTCAACACACTCGTGAACATTCGTTTGATGTGCTATGAAGAAGAGCCATTGCCCCAAATCCGTTGCCTATGATATACGTTTCCTTTCATGGCAGTGTCATCGACGAGCGTGGCGAGTTTCATTGTTCACTGGCGATGGTGCACAAGCACAACTTACCAGCAGCACCAACTCATTTGCGTGTCTCTTCTCCATGGCCCATTCTCTTCCCCTTCCCTACCCTCGGCCCTCCACTCCTTCCCGTCCCTCCCCTCTAATTTAGTGATCCCTAAGTATCCTCTGTTGCTGTTATTCGTTTCAAAATCTTTGCACGCTCCTGCCATCTAAATCATCGTATGATGCCACCGTTTTTTTCTCTTTCTAAATTACGTCAAGCGCCTTGAGTGAAGGCACTCTATGAATATAAATTTGATGAGTTACATTCCTCAAAGGCACTGTCCTAGAATATACATATAATTGGCAACGTTTCGGACATTTGCCGGTCTTCAAATGACATTTCTTCCACGTGTGATGCACGCACACTGTGAGGATGTACGATTACCCTCCCTCGTACTCGCGCGTTGTTTGTGCTCCTTGTGCTCCTGTAGTGTGCGTTGCCTTCGTCATACTGACCACGTGGAGCCGACAGGGTGTGTGTAGTGTCCGGGAACCTTGTGGAGGCATTCCTCTCATTGTTGATTCAGAAATACACCTCCACGTGACCCGAGCTATGTGGCTGCGTAGGCAAACGCACGCGTGCGAATGTGAACTGATTTCACGAATGAACTCTTAAGGTACTTATACAAGTGATAACTACTTCCGATGAATGGAGAACATAAAAAATCAGCCATGGTCAATCCACTGCTGGATAAAGGTCACCCCATGCCACCGCCATATCCTGTGCGCCTGCGATGTAATTATCCATGTAGCACATGAGCTGATTTGATTACTCCATCTCATCGGTGGATTCCCTTTTGGATGTGTGACGCCCGTTGGCTTGACAGTCCATCATTATTCTTGACCATCTGCCACTGTCCCTTTTAAGGACGATTCCTGCCTAAGTCCATTTACTTTTCTGAAAGAGAAACGTACTTTTCACTGGCACCAGTAACATTTAACATTAGACTGATTAGAGAGAAGAGCAGGCCAACTTTGAATGTTGATTCTTCCAACGACTTTGACACTAAACTACTAAACTATTTTTTATTTTACCAGGTAAGGCCCACTGAGTCAATAGCTATTTTTTAGAAGTGACCTGGCCACAAATTATAGCTCAACGATGTGGCTTATCAAGTGGAAAGTTATAGCAGCCAAATATTCTAATTATGGAGTACAATAATGTTTGACAGTTCTTTCGTATTTTTTTTAGCAATCTTGATCAATTTCTTGGTTGCACAAGCAAATACCTGAAGTGTTAAAGTAAAAAAGAGCGGTTCAGGTACAGGAATGTTTAACAGTCGTATTATCAGTGTGGGGGGGGGGGGGCATTACATGAGAGGATTTGAAGCTGACTATTTACACGAGAAGTTTAGTGGCAGAGGCTTTCCATTAGCGGTCCAGCTTTGAGTCAATTAGCCAGGGTAAGTGTCAGTGTCCACATGATTAAGAATGCAGGGTTTTACATGACGTGGGGGAGATTTGTGCTGAACAAGTAAGGGAAGGCGTAAGCCAGGATTGGGACAATGTCATTTAAACCCAAAATACACTCCTCGTTTCAACGGGCTCTTATCTGGTCAGAAGTAAATGTCACCTCTCGAAGGACAAAGGTGGAGCACTGCAATTGCTTGCTCACGCCACTGCTGTCAGAAGAGCCTGCACACTAGATTGGAGCTGAAAGGGGCCCATCGAGTGTATCTTGGCCCACTTCTCAACGTTGGCCAGACGTCCTGGAAGTGGTGGGAATACCCACACTTTACCCCACCACACGTGACCTGTGGCTCGACTAATTTGCGTTGTCCGAGCCGTCTTATACTCGTCAACCACGCCAGCTATGGAGAATTGAACACGAAAGGCAGTTATACAAATGTTTGAATTGAGACCCGTGTTAACACAATTTGGGGTTTATTAAAAAACAACAACTGAGCAGAGAGAATTGTAAGTGTTAAACGACTCTCACACTTCACTGTGGCCACCATGTAGGGCAATGCGAACTAGATTTAGTTTGAATATTAATTTTGTCTCAATATGCTATAAATATATAAATATTTCTGCCCTGCATAGCAACTTGAGATGCTGAGTGTTAGATAAAGGTGGTTAAGGTGCATCCCTGCAATGTCTTGCTCACAGTACTGCTGGGCGAATGGTCTCGATTAGAGGCAGCTTTAGAGCAGTTGGTTCCCAACCTTCCTGCACTCACGGACCCCACAGTGAACCCTCAACAAATACATCCGCAGACCAGCACGCAGTCAAATATCTGGCATTTTGCGAAAAATAAAAGCGTCTGCGACGGTTCTGCAGACCACTTCCCATGGCCACCAGCGGCCCACGGCCCACGTGTTGGAAGCCACCGATCTAGAGGCTACCTTGGCCTACTCTTCCACGCTGGCCAGACGCCTTCGAAGAGGTGGGTGTCCCCACACTTGACGCCACTACAGGCGGCCTGCTTATCGACGAACTGTGGCATTCCCATGTATATAATGCCGGGGGGAAATAAGAAAGTGGATGTAAGAAACTGGCACCATTACTTAAACTGCCATGCCCGGAGATTGAATTGTACCGGCGACCTCTAGATAGCAAGCTCATTGTGCTTAGCACTACTCCATGGCGGCATCCATCGTATTATTGTATTACTCACTGTAAAACTCCCTATGATTGATATTACTCGTATACAGTTTGGTACTTTAATAGCTGCATGTGTTCACTCCAGTATTAACTACACGACTCGTGGAAGTTCGACAGCTCATTGGCAGTGGGCAGTTGAAACAGTCTCTGTCATTGCACGGAGCCAGTCTGTGGACTGGAATAGCAGCTTTTGAAGCCACAGGCACACAGGGCAGCCAGCAAGCAATAGAATAGCCCATTCAATAAAAATCAAAGCCTGGCTATTGCGCTAGCTCGGCAAAAATGATGTTACTCTGGGAAGTTAGTGTAGGTCTCTTAAAATAAATAACGGGAGAGTCAACGCATGTCTTGACATTAAATTAAACGAAAAAATAGTAAGTCATTATGGCTCCATGAATCATGTCTCCACACGTGTGCCACGCTTCCCTTTATTAATGGGAGTGTTTCACTGTTGTGTTTAATATGATGTGAAGTCGAAGAAGAACAACCCCCCACACCGCTTCGCTTGTGCGGGCGCGACGTGATACAGCTGGAGAGCTTCCCCCATGTCACGAAGAGGTTTGCGTTCGAGCCGCCTTCACGAACGTTTGTCGCGAGCTACCAGAATTGTGCATCTTCACTTCTACCGAAGAGCGCCTCGCCCCGAGTAACTGGAATGATTTAAGTTCGTCGGGCAATGCGTACACATGCCGACAGTCCTATGCGCACGTGACGAACAGTCGAAATGTTTTGAGAAGTGGGTTATTAATAGGTGCTCACGTTCAATGCTTCTAGTCACCGCTTACATTAATCCACTTGTAGGACCATGTTAGCGCAACTGCGTTTTAGGTACTACGTTCTCAAAACACACTCACTGTGCACTGTGTGTAAAAACCCGGTATACATATGTATATATGTATCCCGTATAAAGCTTGGAAGGACTGCACGCAGTAGCAATGCTTGCACTTTTCCAAATGCACAGTCGCTCGCAGTCCCTTCACAACCACCTCATTCCTCTCCTGTCAGGTTGCACGCATTGTGACGTTTTGTAAAATGAAATTTACAAAATTTTGTTAGGAAAAAGGAGCGCCAGCAATCACGTCCGAAGGCAGATGTTTGTTTTCTAATCAAACTGTATTGTTCTCGGTCCTTGGAAATGTCAAATGACGTTCAGAAGAATGGAAACACCGCACACTGTAAGTACTCCGTGCAATCGCAGCAAGCCACTTGCTGGTGCTTACATCATATAAATTAAGGGCAAAGAAGCAGGGATCACGAAGGAAGCGGCACATTAGTCAGCCTGTCGCGGTGGCCCCTCCACGCGCTATTTACACAAACATTTACGCCGTCCAGAAGAGTTTTGAATACCTTTTTCATATATAGATTACTTAAATACAGTAGGACTAAACCATAGCTTACGGGCATACATCACGTGTTCAGGCCGCGTTTTTCGTTTCCTCTTTAAACATGTACTATAAATACAAACGTCTATTTTCTAAGCATCGATTATAACAATAATAAATATTCAAAGTTATTGTATAACAATTTAGCTATTTACAACTCAGCTCTCTCTCTCTTTTTTACATTAGCTGTACAGGTTTAATAACAAATCCGCTGATACGTTCACTATCAACATATTTGTCTTTCGGCTTTCAACAGTAGACACAGACAATAACATATATTCTATATATATATTTGCTTTCCATGATCCGACACTGTTTATGAGAAATTAGTACAGTCCACCTTGGAACAAGGCCACAGATGAGAAGTTATTGCCAATTGAATGGCTTTTCCTGTTGACATTTTATAGAGACATGCAGCTACAATTCGTGGTATCGTAGTTGCTTTTTAGGATTCTTTCAAGCACCGATATGCATGGGAGAATACCCTTTTGTGCTTTTCGTACGCGGTGCTACCGCAGACAGGGAAACACTGCCACTTTGTGATGAAACAGCTCTTAAGGTCTATATATTATCATATTTATATATGTGCAATTTTTTATTGTATGTGGATGTCGTACACGCATCCGTACGTAAACCTCGCGCTTCGTGCGTGCGTACGCGCGCTTCGTGCGTGCGTACGCGCGCCACACGTGGACAGGTCGGCACGTACCACACCCTGTCTGCTCCGGGCCGGAGCTAACCGGTGCGGTCGGCACCTATTGACACCAGTTTCCCGCTCCCGAACCGGCGATTGTGTGCACACACACACACACCGTCCGTAAAAGCCCCACGGCTGGCGCGGAGGGCAAAGGCACTTGAACAGAGAAGAAAGTTCTTCCACCGGCGACGACGGCCGCTTGTAGAGTCGGCGTGGCACACGCTAGCGGCACCCGCAGCCCTCCACCACCATGTCCTGGTAGTTCTTGAGCACCACCTTCTCGTACTCGTCCAGGTAGAGCAGCGCGATCGGCGTGAGCTCCGTGGGGATGCAGCACGCGCGCGGCACCTCCGGGTTCACCGAGTTGACGAGCGTCTGCACGATCGCGTGGTTCGTGGAGTTGAGGTGCTGCGGCAGCGGGAAGTGGCACTCGCCCTGGCAGAAAAAGGCGTTGTATCCCGGCGGCGCGACGATCCAGTCGTTCCAGCCCACGTCGCTGAAGTCCACGTACAGAGGGTAGCGGGCGCACTGCCCGCGACCCCTGCGGCCTCCCTTGTTGGGCCGCGAGTTGCGCTTGGGGCGCGGCCTCAGCAGCGTCCCCTCGTCCCTCGTTTTCCCGTCGTGGCCGAACGTCACCAGCAGAGGCCTGAGCTGCGGCCAGCCCTCCCCTCCGTCGCCCCCTTCGCCCGCGCCGTCCCGGGCGGCCGCCGCCACCGCCTCGGCGTGCAGCGACCTGCCGATGCGCACGTGCCGCCTCTTCTCGGGCGTGCCGCCGTCGAGGTGATGCACCTCGACGAGCAGGCCGTGGTTGGGCGCTCTCGCGGCGGCCCAGCGCACGGCGGCGGGGCTCACGTCAAAGCGCTCCCACTCGCTGCGGCCCGAGTGCACCACCCGCGTGTCCAGGAGGCGGGCGATGGGCGTCCCGTCGGCGGCCGCGGGCCGCAGCACCTCGTACACGTTGATGCGGTGGAGGGCGGCGCGCGCGGGGCCACTCAGGCGCTCGCGGTAGACGTGCAGCTCCGCCGAGGTGATCACCTCGCCGTCGGGGATGCTGCTTACGTTGAACAGCAGCCGCCGTGCCGTGCTATCGCCCGAGTCGGCTGGCACGTGCTCCGCGGACTCTGCCGGTGGGGGTCACGGCACGAGCAAGGTGTCACTGACAACGTCTCGCAGTGGCGTTCGCCCAGCGGAGATTTAGTCACGCCGCGTTTACGAGTTAATATCTATGGGCCTTTTCATTCATGGCGAGGTGCATTTAAAGAGCTCGGAGGCCACCGCTGGGCAGGAACAGGCAAGGGAAGGGAGGAATGGAAGAACATGGTGTTTGACTAGAAGATACAGGCTGAGAACAACAACAACAGCATCAAGGGCCCGGTTTGTTTGGAGGGCATTTCCCGTTGATATTTAGCAGATGATTAACACATTCCTGTGATTTCTGCAGATACTTGCTATTTTCACATCAAATATTATCAGAAACTGCCTTCCTGCCAATGTTTCAGTCAGGACCCATAAATATTGTTACGTTCATACACGAGAAGCAAGCGAGACAAATGATTGTAAAATTAGAAAAAAATATAAATCTGGTTGTGCAATTATTCAAGCCCAGGAAGGTTACTGCTAAAATAGACTTCTGGCCTCTATATCTGCTCATGAACATACTTTTACTAAAAAGAGCACAACTTGAGAAACTAGGAGCATTAAACATCCCAAAAACAATTATTGAAAACATTTAAGGAAGGAAACTATCGTTTTAAAGTAGTTTTATTTTTCCAGACTTGGTACAAAATGTATAAACTGCACAATGATAAATCAAAGACAAGATACGAAATAAAATTAGCCACGCGATATTATTATTTTTGGGTGCAGTGTAATGTCATTGTAAGAATGTATGGACTATATTGCACACTACAAATTAAAACATGAAGACAATGTTATTCTCATCAGGCCCCATGGTGTAGAGTGCAGTCTCTCTCTCTCTCTGTGTATGAGCTGCACAGAAATCTTGCCGATCATATCTTTTTTTCCTTGACGTTTTTTTGTTTTGTTTTTACAATCAATGCTTTTACAAATCTGCAGTATTCCATCTCATGCATAATTGGACGAAATGAGATGTGGAAAACAGCACTGCATGTGTACACGTACGTGCACAGAGATAGACGGACGTGTATACATATTTGTGTAAATACATATGAATGCATCATAATGTATATATACAAACATACCTTATCACAGAAAAAAAACTATATCGTAGGTTATTTTTTTCGGCAAAGGCCCTTATTCAGACGATAGAGAGCAGATGTTCTCATACCAATGCCCTCACATGAATACTGTTGAGGTGCAAGGTTCTGTCCTGTCGTGTTGAAGGCGCAGCGTGTCGCTTTGTGTGCATGTTCGTTCATCGTGTCGGTTCAAAAGTCCTACGGCTCAGGTGAGGAATTGTAAGAGGAAACTTTTTCATTGGTTATGCGAAAATAAAGCAAGATTGTTTCTGTCACTGAGAGGTTTGAAAGTACTAAGGCGTGCATTCCCACTGGTATAAACATCTAATTTAAAATGTGAAATCCAACACAGGAAACTTATCGGTGACCCACGTTAATTGGAACTCACGATCTTCGCAATTGCGTACATTTTCCGAAGAAGCAGCAGGGACATTTCCAGACTGACGGTCAACCATTTGAATGCTGCTCACTTACAAGACCGAAAATCACTTTGGCAAGCCCACTTCGATCCGTGCGCCCGCCCGCTCCGACCGAACACAGAGCGAGCGCCGTGGCTCTCAGCTGCGGCTCACCGTCGTGGTGGAAGCTGCGCACGGTGTCCGCCTGGCTCGCGGGCCGCGCCACCAAACGGTCCAGGGGCCGTGCCACGTCGCGGGGGGCCCCGCTGTGGGCCCCGTGCAGGGCCCGGTACAGCTGCAGCATGTACGGTGGCACCACGGCGCCGGGTCCCGGGCGCGGCCGCCTCTGCAGACCGAACATGCCGAGCAGTTGGCCCTCGACGTGCCGCGTGAGGAGGCCGTGCGGCGGCGGCGTGGCGCGCCCTCGAGCCGGCGCGTCGCCGTCATCGCTCGCGGCGCCCGGAGGCGGCGGCGGCGACCTCCTGCCGCTTTCGCTCTCGGCCGGGAAGCAAAGGGCTACGAGCAGAAGCATCAGCAGCGGCCTACCAGGCGGCATCGTGGGCTTTCTGCGGGGCAGAAGAGAGGACATTCATGCCACGGTTGTATGTTGTTTGTCGCGCTCGTTGAGGGCGGTTCTCAGAGGCCCAGAAATGTCAAGCGGCCAGCGACGGTAAGCACTGTTGAAGGCGCAGCAGATAAGGGCTGAAACATTTCTCGAATTGCGCAAGGTTAGCGAAATCTCAGACGATGCGTGGGCATTCCAAAGTGGAGCTGTGAGAGGAAAGGAGCAAAGTTTTGACCTGCGGTGTGGTTCGTCTCTCTGGGTGTCAGACTCTGTTGGACATTTCTTCTCTCATTATTATTAGTTACCATTTCACAATATTGCTCCACCACCACCAGCACCACCACCAGCACCACCACCAGCTACCAGCACCACCACCACCACCAGCACCACCACCACCACTACCAGCACCACCACCACCACTACCACCACCACCACCAGCACCACTACCACCACCAGCACCACGACCACCACCACCACCAACACCACTACCACCACCACCACCACTACCACCACTACCACCACCACCACTACCACCACTACCACCACCACTACCACCACTACCACTACCACCACCAAGCACCATCCACCAGTCCACTGCGACCACCCACAACCCAACAGAGTTCGACTCCCGTGTTCTCTCAACGGGTGGGTTCCAGGAATGGGGGGGGGTCTGATTTTAATTACAGACTTCCATCCCTGTTTACCTGACCGATAAACCACAATGCCTTGGGATTAGAAACTGAGGGAAGACAGAAGGGCGGGAAAAATAGAAAAAAGCATCCTTAATTTAAATTACATTTGCCTCTCTGCCTGCCACCCCACCCCGTATTTGCATTACAACCATCAGCTACAGAAAACTCCAAATTGGCACACGTTTCAATGGGTTTCTGCAGTGTCGTGGATCTTTACCCCCTCCCCCCACACACCACGAAGCTAAGCACAAGATTAGCGGCCGGCCACAAACAAATGAATGTGCACAATACCCAAGTGTACTTGAGTCTGTTAATAAGCGCTACACATGCCAACTTGAGGCCTGAATAAGTCACTCTTAAAGACCACTTTGCATGGCACAGGATGTAAAGGTGCCTTCTTCCTTCTATAAGGCCCCCCTAGCCCACATTGTTGTTATATAAAGCACATTCACAACAGTGACCTGTGTGTGTGTGTTTCTGATAATTACCCCGTGCTACACAAAACCCACTTCACACGAGTGTTCGTATAGTATGACAAGCTAAACAAGGAGCTTTCTCCCCGCCCCCACCTCCGTTCTATTATCCTCGGCTCTCTTTAAAGAGTCACCGCCGTGGTCATTTCCAACAATGCTCTCAGTCACTTTCCGAACGGAACTCGCTCGGCCGAGTTGGGCTCGGTGGAGGTGCCGTCCCAACGCACGCGCATGAAGCAGCAGCAGCAGGAGCAGCAGCAGAGGCACAGCGGGGGGCGACATGGGGAGCATGAGCAGAGCACAGAGAGATGAGAACGCAAGGGTTGTACTCACTGATAGTACGCATGCAAGTCGGCCAATATAGTCCATGGTTCTGCGGCAGCTTAGGTGAGGCTGTTTTTGCCGTAAGCACTCACAGCGGTTGCCATTGCAAACCTGCCCGGTGGGAACGTCTCCTGCGTTTATATAGCAGGGCGGGGGAGGTAGGGGATGAGAGCGCGGAGAGTAGGAGGAGTTGTCGAGGTTGGAGAGGAGGAAGGGGTGTGGGGGTAACGTTGGGGATGGGGACATGGGTTGTTTTGTGGGGGTTGTGGAGGATGGGGGGGGCGCTGGCTCCGTTTGAATCGGGGAGTCCGTCCGCCCTCGATTCGGCGTCGCGTGCTAAGATGGTGGTGGGACTCGAGTGGCATCTTCCTCGATCAGGTCCCACGCGCAGCCCTGGAGTATTCGCACGCACGTGCGGTTCGAGAGGAACACCCCGAGCCATTCAGCACCAGGGAAAAGGTGAATATGACCACGGAGAACGAACTCCCAGAAATGCATCATCGCCGTCCCGATCGGCAGAGTGTTTACGAGAGAAATCTTAAACGATGTTGACGCCGCCCTGTTGTGTTTCTGTCACTGCCCTCGTGCTGAAACGAACTCACGTGACATTGTTACCCTTTTGCCCAAACGCCGCGACCTTTGACACGATTATCTTGATGCATTCCATCACGTATTTCATTTTTTTATAAAGTGTGCTCCCCATACGTTCATTTGCCTCCGAACCAAGTCTTAAACGACCGCGGCACTCGTTCTGCCCACCTGAGCCCCACGCTACGAAGCGCCTTCCCCCGCAGGCGGGTTTCTTCCCACCCCCCACTCCCACCGCGAAAAGATAGCAGCAAGCATCTTTTAGTTTCAGATAAATATCTTCGTCTTAATCAAACCTCGCTCAGCACAAACGCGCACCGCGCAGGTACAGGATGAAAACAACCCAAAGCGACACGTCAAACATGTGACCCGGATTCTCATTGTAAACCCATTTTAACGCTCTCCGTAAGGAGTGATATACCCATGCGACAGAATAGTTATGTGCAGGCTGGACACAAACAAGATTTATACTAAAACACGCAAAAGACCTACCGGCCACAAACGCGCCATTCGCTGTCTAGAAGTCACCTTGTGCGCGTGTTATTAGTCTGGGTTTCTCTCTCTCTCTGCCTGCAGGCCGAGCGCAAGGTATGTGTCTGTGATCCCGTAACTCTCAACCTCAGGGCAAAATTGTTTGCCCAAAGCAAATAATTAACGGTCAGCACACTGACCACTGCTATGTCTCTGGGACGCACTAAGCTGAGTGAGGACAATTACAAGGTGCCTGCTCAATGCTCAGGTCTTGGGGCAGCGTGCGTCAAACGGCGCAGAGGAGGCTCAGCGCCACACGGCGACACGGGCAGCGGGACACGTGAATGTTCGTAGAGGCAACGTGGTCACGCCAAACGAAGCGCCATTATTGATGCGTCCAGTGGAACTTCTCTTATCCACAATGATGTGGGGGGTGAACGACGCCGAGCCAATTGTCTGCGGTGTCACCCGGCGTGTTCACTCCAATTATCTGCAGAAAAATAAACTGGGGGTGATCGCGGATAATATGAAGCATAGGGCCACGGTTAACACGAGTTCCCACAGACTCGAATGCTCCCACAGATAATATGAGTCTCAGCTAATAGGGTCACGGATAAGAGGAGTTCTACTGTATTTGGGAGGTTACGACTCATGAAATCGAATCTCCTATGTAAGGGCCGGTGTTTTTATTTATTTGAATACGTTGTGTGTAATGGCTTCATAAAAACCCATTCACCAGCTACAGACGCTACCATTGACTGGAATGTAAAAATACCGAGTCTGGAATCTAATTGTGACTGATACGCAACAATTCATTGAATCCCTGGGGGGGGGGGGGACGAGAAGAGATCGGTGAGGTGGGGGGTGTGAATCGATCGCTACATCTCTCATGTGCATGGTGGAGGAGGAGTGGAAACTGCCTTAGACTAGAACAGGAACAATGTGGATTAGCCGAACACCTACGCCCAATATGCCTGAGCGATGAGTACCTCCTGCGAAATGGGGAAGTGAATTATACGCTGATTACAAGCGTCCACAACAGATCTGGGGCCCAAACACTGCTCGCACTCCAAGCGCTTGGAAAAGGCCAAGACAGCCCCGACTTTTATAATCCTCATCATGGAAAAATCCACGGGCGAAGAGTCATCGAAGCAAAACTCGTGGCTGCGTTCAATTACGGATTGGATACAGTCCTCTCGCGAGGCGGCGTAGGCGCAAGGGAGGCGTGCTAAGGAAGGGAAGACGCTCGCCTGCTTGTTTGCCATCCCCCCGCTCGCGTTGTGCAAGCTGCGGCGAGGGTGGTCTGCACGGAGGTGATGCATTGCCCCCGCGGCGAGTCCAAAGTTCACCGATTCAGAACCCCCCGGCTCTCGGAATTTAAACGATACAGACGTTCTCAAACGCCCACAAATTCAAAATACTTTGCTCGCCGGCTGCCGGGGAACAAATAATAATAATACGCCGAAAATTAAACACGGCAGCGCGCAGCCCAGGTGGCTTTTGACCGCTGATCTATCGATGTTTGCTATCGATGATCTGTGTGTTAATTATCAATCGACTGCGAGATAAAGGCCTCCCCCTACACATTGTGGGGTGTTTGACCATACTTCACCATGCTGGTCATTGCAAAATAGCGAAATGGAGTAGAGGGGGGGGGGGGCGAGCAAAATGGGTTCCGATATGACTCGCCGCTGGTGTAAACCGTGGTCAGGAGTCGAACTCGCGTCTCCGTCTCGACAGCTGCAATGCGTGACCCACACCCCCATTCCCCTGCACCCCCTATTTGCCGTGAGCAAGGGGAATGACACAAAATGGAACACGGCATTGTCACCCGTGCAGAGAGAACACGTGTTGTGGTCGGAGAGTTGTACTTAAAAAACAAACGCACAACTGGAAAGGAAGCTTATGGCTCGTGAATACACGTGGTGTGTGTGTAGAGAAAACAATGCTTTATTTGAAGAATAGCGTGAAAGCTTGGGAGGTTTATGAGTAGAACGTTGTAGGAAAGTGTTGTAACTGTAATTGGTAAACACAAAAATAGGTTGGTACGGATGAGACAGGCAGGTTACCGAGGCAGCAGTTTGAGCGACACTCAGGTTGGCGATCAGGGGGAAGACCGACAGCCACATGGCCAGGGATAGGTGGAGGAGGGGTGCACCGTGAGAGTGAATCTAGGAGGTCAGGGGTGGACTTTGCAACAATTAAAAGATGAAGAAAAAATTAAATTGGCAGGCAGCAATAGCGAGGTGTGAAAGAATAGTTTGCGTATCGTTTTATATCACGAGAGATGGCGGGAGCTTGGCGATGTCGTCGTCCAGAAATGGATGATTTATGATGATGATGATGATATTATGATGGCCAACCCTGGAAGTTATTTTCTAACTACTTGGGAGGTTGCCAAGGGTTTGACAGCTCAAACGCTTCGGCTACTGCTGTCAAGCGATGAAGTATTATCGAAGCATGCCATCTGCTGTTTAGTGAACCTTGAAGGCCCTTTGATGTCATTAACAGGTTATTGTGTACTCAAGTCATGGCATGATGTTCAAACTCAAAAACAGAAATAGCTATCATGTGGACGATGTGAGCTTTGAATATATATTTTCAAAACAAACAAAACTACAATTACTTGCCACCCAAGGGACCATAATCTCTAAGGATCAGCTAGGGATTGAGAAATGCCATCTGTAACACCGCACATTTAGCGATCGTCAGACATAGATCATTCCAGACGCTGCGTAATTGCATAAACCAGAGTGACATGTATCATAATGAACGCACATCATTTTGTAAAACAAGATACCGCACTGACAGACGAGAGTGGGCCACAGGATCCCTCTGCCAGTCAAGGGGAACAGGGAGGAATTTGTGAAACGGCGGACGCGATGAGAACAGCCGGGGACATCTGATCGACTTGCGATCGTGCTGCCCCGGCGAGCAGGTAGAACGGGCGACACGCGATCAGGCGCGGGGCTGCGAGCGTGGGACCGCACGCATGGGTTTGTATGCATGGGACCGCACGCATGGGCTTGTATGCATGGCCCCGCATGCACAGTGCCGCACGCCCGAGACCGCACGCATGGGTCAGCACGCATGGGTCAGCACGCATGGGTCAGCACGCATGGGTCAGCACGCATGGGGCCCGATGCATGGTCCCGCATCCAAGGGACCCCTTGCATGGGCCTGCACGCATGGTACCGCGTGCATGGGTCTGCACGCATGGGGCTAGCATGGTCGGCTACGTACGGTGCGAAAGAAGTCGAACATACATACACAGAAGAATGGGGCTGCACCCATGGCCCCGCCCGCTGGGGTCCGAACACTCCGTCCTGCGCGGCACGAGAATCGACGGGGCTGGGTTGGCGACATGCGCGCAGGAACGCGCGCCCCACGCCACCTGCTGTGCGTTCAATTAAAGGGGCATCGAATATCGCGCTCGGGAGTTGCGGGCGATTTTTTCATCCGGTTTCAACTCTATCGGTGAAATTCAAGAATATTTCACAGGAAAACGTCGTGTAACGTTGTATAACGCTGTACATCTGACCGTCGCGTTTCTGCCCCGATCAATAAAGCGCCTACACCCATTGTCGTGTTTCTGTTGATGGTGTTCTTGTTATTCTCTATAGATGTTTACGTAGCAGAACTTCTCACAGAACTGCTCAGTGGGATATGCGACATTATACTATATTGGTGTGGAATGAAGCATGATTTTGGTGATTTAAAAAAAAAATCCTTTTAAGTATTTATCATTATTATTGGTCATCTATCGTCACGATCGATCCACTGCTTCATTATAACCTCTGAGTTCAATTAACAACAATAATTAAACAGTCATCCTTTGCCCGGGATGGAGTGGTGGCACAGTGGTTAGCGCGTTACGCTATGCTCCCAGCTACCTGAGATCGATAGCAGACCGCGGCTGATAGCAGTGGAGAGAGATTTAGATAGAGACGAGTTCTGGGCTCCCCTTCACCAACCCATCGTGACCGGCGATGTGAAGTATGGTCGATCAACCCCAATGAACTACACGTGCATCATATTCATGGTCGATCAGCCACCAGAAGTGTAGATGATA